AAGCACAGGGTCAAAACACATGCAAACCCAAACATGAATGAGTCAACACAGTCTCACTGTTTCCACTAAAACAGAGCACCCAGTGGCCCTCTCTGATTCTCTCTGTTGTTTCCCTGTTGGTTACAGTAATTACTCTCTCATCATACTCAGGAAACGGTAGCGTGATCTGTATCTGTTTAAAGGGATGCTGGCCTAGTCTAAACACCATAGAGACGTAGTCTCGCCTGGCTGCATGGTCACTGGGCGTGGACATCAGCCACAGTCACACAAACAGCATACAGACCAGGGTTCTCGTGGCTGGAATGAAATGCCCCAGTTACTGATCAAGAAGCGAAACAGAGAGGCCTGTTTTTGTATCAGCCAAGCATATCAACAGCTAGAGAGTAAACAGGCAAAGAACAAAACAGAGAAGCACACTTAGCTTAAGGCAGTAACCATTGATTGCACAAAGCCCCCATACAGGCTAATCACTGAAAGTTCATAGAAACTGAATTTCCTTGCTTTTTTTAGGTAATATAAAGTATATGTAGTGTGTAAACGTTTCGAAATGTAGTATGTATAAAAGTTTCTAAATGTACTCTTCATTCCCCAGTTCATATATGGAAACTAAGTTGCAAAAACAGCCAGTGTAGTCACAATCATGAACAAACTTATATGATTGACTGTACAGACTTACAGCTGTTTAGCTGCTTATTCATGTTGACATGATAAGAAGTATTGGCACTGCAAGCAAAATGCATCATTGCAAATTTCCAAAGAAATGAGTCAAGTCAAAGTTTATTTATATAGTACTTTTTACAACAGACATTGTCACAAAGCAGATTTACAGAAAAATCCAGGTCCAAACCCCCATGAGCAAGCCAGTGGCAAGGAAAAACTCTCTAAGAACAAGAGGAAAAAACCTTGAGAGGAACCAAGACTCAAAAGATAATATCTGTAGTTTCCAATAAAACAAAATCCATAAGGGCTGACAGCACCTCCAGGATGGATCCTTTGAATTGAAGAGAAAGGAAGGACAGGAAGAGAGACAAAAGAAGGAAAGATGGACTGTGGAGAAATTAAACACAGGGAGAGAAAAGGCTAAAAATATAATCTGGCCTCCCTCAGGGGACCAACATCTGAACCTTGTCCAAACACTACATGTTTTTTTTGAGCAAATAGCTAACATGCTTAAGCATAAGCAATTTATACTGGGATGGACAAGATGGGGTTGCTTCAAGGGGTACAAAGAAACAGAGAGAATAACAGTGGTTAGTTAAAAAGGCAGAATCAAGGATTTAGCTAAACACATTTTGAAATTATTATTTTGACAGCACTGCTATCCTTCTATTATAAAATGAATTGACTTTTGTCATGTACCTAGGCTACACTGCATGTGGCACTGCATGCACTTTGCAGAGAGAAATGCATTAAAAAGTCCAATCATTAGCAATCTCCAATAGCAATTTCACATGTAGAATTTTTTTATATCAAGGTTTGAATTTTTAATAGTAGAAATTAATTCTATATATCAAGAATTATGGCAAGCCGTTTTATATGGCAAGCCATTTTAGCTTTTAATCCTTTTTTTTTCTTGATATCAAGAATTCAATTTACACATGTGAAAATGTAATTTCCACTAGTAAAATTTAAATTCTTGATATCAAAAATTGAATTTTTACTAGTAAGAATTGAATTTTCTATGGCAAGCCATTTTAGCTTTTAATCCTTTTTTTCTTGATATCAGGAATTAAATTTAAACATGTGAAAATTTAATTCTTACAAGTAAAAATTTAATTTTCACTAGTGAAAATGTAATTTTTGATATCAGGAATTAAATTGTTACTAGTAAGAATTAAATTCTTGATATCAAAAAATAATTTTAAACTAGTAAAAATTCATTTTTTGATATCAAGCATATGGCAAGCCATTTTAGCTTTTAATCCTTTTTTCCTTGATATCAGGAATTCAATTAAAACGTGAAAATGTAATTACTAGTAAAATTCTTACTAGTAAAAATTGAATTCTCACATGTAGAAATTCAATTTTTGATGTCAAGAATTCAGTTTACACATGTGAAAATCTAATTTTTACTAGTAAAAATCTTTACTGGTAAGAATTAAATTCTTGATTTCAAAAAATGAATTTTTACTAGTGAAAAACTCATTTTTGATATCAAGAATTTAACTTTTCCTAGTAAAAATGTAATTCTTAATATCAAAAATTGAATTTTTACATGTGAAAATTACATTTTTACTAGTGAGAATAAAATTCTTACTAGTCAAAATAGAATTTTTACTAGTGATAATTCATGAATTTCCCCATTCATTTTTATGGGGGAAACGTTTTCACAAGTAAGAATTAAATTTCTACTAGTAAAAATAAAATTTTCACATATAAAAATTGAATTATTGATATCAAGAATTGAATTTTTACTAGTAAGAATTAAATTCTTAATATCAAAAATGAATTTTTCAATAGTAAAAATTGAATTTTTACATGTAATAATTCAATTAGAACTAGTAAAATTATATTTTCTACAAGTAAAAATAAAATTTTTACATGTGAAATTTAAATTATTACTAGTAAAAATGAAATTTTCACTAGTAAAAATTAATAGTTGTTAAAATTCTGTTCCTGATACCAAAAATTTAATTCTTGATATCAAAAATTTTATTTTTCCTAGTAAAAAATCAATTCCTGATATGAAGAATTCAAATTTTACTAGTTCAAATTTATTCAAATGAGCCAGTAATGTGTCTGTTTAAATCTATCTAATAGTGGCCCATTGTCCCTGCTAGTGGGAGTGTACAGACCCAAGGTTGCCAAGTCTGCAGAAGGTTTAAAAATTTAAGTAAAATGACAACGGATGAGAGTCGACAGAATTATTTACTTTGATGTGTGCTTTTAAATGTTTACATATTTCTATACATTTACAGTAGCTTATATTTTTGAGTCTTGGTTTATGAAGAGCTTTTGATTTTGCCATCTGTAACATTACTTACAAAGCTTTCTGGCAACGATGCTCCCATTAAGAGTTGTGTGCATGTCACAGTGGAAAAAGAGCAAATTCTTTGAAAGTTTTGCAACACAATATCATTTTAAATGTTTTTAAATGTAAATGTTTGAATGTACTGAAGCTATAAAGTGCAAGCTTTATTTTTCCTGATGACTTAAACTGAAATATATATTTAAGGTACTTGCTGTTGTCTCTTTAAGAAAAGTACAATGCAAATAATCCCCACCTACACATCCACGTGCAAATCAAGCCAGTTAACATTAGAACATGTAATAATTCAATTTGTACTAGTAAAATGCAATTCTTACTAGTTAAAATAAATTTTTTTACATGTGAAAATTTAATTTCCACTTGTAAAAAATTAATTCTTGATATTAAAAATATCAGTTTAACTAGTAAAAATGTTATTGGTGATATCAAGAAATATAATTTTTACTACTGAAAATTCAATTCTTACTAGTAAAAATGTAAATTTTACTAGTGGAAATTAATTTTTTACTATTGAAAATTCAATTCTTACTAGTAAAAATTCAATTTTTGATATCAAGAATTAAAATTTTACTAGTGGAAATTACATTTTCACATGTGTAAATTGAATTCCTGATATAAAGAAAAAAAGGATTAAAAGCTAAAACAGCTTGCCATAATTCTCACATGTAGAAGTTGCTATCAAGAATTCAATTTACACATGTTAAAATTGAATTCTTACTAGTAAAAAATCGGTTTTTGATATCAAGAATTCAATTTTTAACCATGCTCCCATTAAGTGTTGTGTGCATGTCACACTGGAGAAAGGAGAAGTTTCTTTGCAAGTTTTGCAAAACAATAACATTTTAAATGTTTTTAAATATAAATGTTTGAATGTACTGCAAGCTAAAGTGCAAGCTTTATTTTTCCTGATGACTTAAACTATAATATATATTTATGGTACTTACCAGTGAAAATTAAGAATTTAATTTTACTAGTGGAAATTACATTTTCACATGTGTAAATTGAATTTCTGATATCAAGTAAAAAGGATTAAAAGCTAAAACGGCTTGCCATAATTCTAACTACCACTCTTACTTTTACCAGTAAAAATTTAATTCTTGATATCAAAAATTGAATTCTTGATATCAGGAATTGATTTTTTACTTTTGATTTTGCCATCTGTAACATTACTTACAAAGCTTTCTGACAACAATGCTCCCATTAAGTGTTGTGTGCATGTCACACTGGAGATAGGAGCAGTTTTTTTTGAAAGTTTTGCAAGACAATAATATTTTAAATGCTTTTAAATGTAAATGTTTAAATGTACTGCAAAATGCAAGCTTTACTTTTCCTGATGAAAATGCCACAATGCCAATCATCCCCACTTTCACATCAACATGCAGATCAAGCTAATTAACATTAGAACATGTAAAAATTCAATTTGTACTGGTAAAAATGCAATTCTTACTAGTTGAAATAAATTTTTACTAGTGAAAATTTAATTTCCACTTGTAAAATTTTTATTCTTGATATTAAATATATAATTTTAACTAGTAACTAGTATAGTTTATTTTAACTTTCTACTTTTTACTAGTAAAAATTAAATTTCTACTAGTGAAAATTCCGTTCTAACTAGTAAACATTCAATTACTGATATCAAGAATTCAAATTTTTAATTAAAAAGGATTATAAAAGGATTAAAAGCTAACATCGGCAACGTAGGCTACAAATAAAACGAAAAGAGTTTTTAACTCAAAGATAAAGCTACTAGCCTACACGTCTGGTATGATTAATCTATAACAACTGGGCAACTATCTACGTCAAGGTGGCTAAAAGTACGAGTATGCAGAATCGTTCATAAATAAGGGTTTGCTCAATGCTTGAAAAATTCAAGTTCAACCTTTACTTGAGCAGAGAGAGAGAGAGAGAGAGAGAGAGAGTGTGTGTGTGTGTGTGTGTGTGTGTGTGTGTGTGTGTGTGCTTTTCTGCCCCAACGGTTCGTGGTAAGGAGCAGAGGGGGCTGCCTCAGTGGGAAAGTTGCTGTCTGAATGTAAATGCTTACTGGAATATAACATGCGTGGATCTCAACGTAGGCTACAAATAAAACGAAAAGAGTTTTTTACTCAAAGATAAAGCTACTAGCCTACACGTCTGGTATGATTAACCTATAACAACTGGGCAACTATCTTTGCGACAATTTATGACACGTCAAGGTGGCTAAAAGTACGAGTATGCAGAATCGTTCATAAATAAGGGTTTGCTCAATGCTTGAAAAAAAACCTGCCCCTTTTTGTTCCTTGTTCAAATTCAACCTTTACTTGAGCAGAGCGAGAGAGAGAGAGAGAGAGAGAGAGAGAGAGAGTGTGTGTGTGTGTGTGTGTGTGTGTGCTTTTCTGCCCCAACGGTTCGTGGTAAGGAGCAGAGGGGGCTGCCTCAGTGGGAAAGTTGCTGTCTGAATGTAAATGCTCACTGGAATATAACATGCGTGGATCTCATTAATCAGAAGGTAGATCATCCATCTTCATCAGGTAAGTTGCTGAAGTAAGAAATGCTACCTTTTAGGCTCTAACCAGTTAATTGGTGGCTACTGTAGGCTATTCCAAACTGCTAAACAGAAGGCTAGTGTGGACTCTATTCCTGTAGACTGTATTTGTTTTTTGACCTTACAAGCACAGTACAACTAAATACAGTTTTTGTGCAGTGGGTAGGAACAGTGGCTTGTTCTGGATGCGGTATGAAGTGTTGGTGATTTAGGACGCTTTACTGTACTTTATGCCACAGTACTGTAATAGGCATACTATATATTACCTAAATTGCTTTCTTCTATATATTTATTCTTGCAATTTTGTCCACATTGTAGGGCCTGGTCATTATCAGTATGAGGTCTTACAAAGTATGAGGCCTCACAAATGGTTATATGCAAAAAAATAAACTGCCCAGGCATCAGTTACCCAGCATTACTAAATTTTTATGCCGTTTTTATTACAATATTAGAGGAAGTACTCAAAGTAATCCTCTATTACCATGCTGTAGCCTTTGTGTGCAGTACTTTTGAGACACATCAAAAAGCTATGTACTGACACAGTTTTCATTTTATTGGTGGCAGATTGGCCCAATAAATTTATACCATTCACTTGTCGCTGTTTTTATGTATTGTATTTCTGATTCTCTCAAGAATCATTCATGAAGCATACGATGTTGTATAATTCTTTATTCTGCATAATTCAGATTACAGAGTGTGCTAGGTGTCATGGCCTCCAGGCATATTATAAAATACTATTGTACATACTTGGACACGTCATCATACTATTGGTGGGGTCTCAAATTCTTGTATATGCATTATTGTTGAAAGAATGATGCAAGACATTTGTCCAGATGTTATGTTCACTTGATACCACCAAACATACTTGTGCTATATTACTGACATGAAGCACCTTTGCCAGTCTTGACTTAAGTCATCATATTTTCAAGATTAAGTTACAAGTTAGGAATTAATTGAACTTTTGAGAATGGATAAAAAACTGAAATCTTAAGGTAGTGTTATGTAAACTCTTCAATTTGGTTTTAGGTACCTTTCATGTCATTAGAAAAGGCTGGTTTTTAGGGTTCCTGTCATGTTATTCAGATCAAGCATTCTGGGTGGGGAGGAGTCATTGAGGAAAGGTCATTGGGTAAAGACAAAGGAGTCATTATCTTGCATGTTTATTCACCTGGTTAGTTATAGAGCACTACAGCTTTTCTGGGAGTTTGGCCAGAAAGGACCAAAATTAAAGCAGGTTCTTAACTACTGAAACTATTAAATGAAAGAACCAGGTGGAGGAAACGGACAAAAGATCATGACTTGAATATGTGAGCACCTAGGGGTGTTAAAATGCATTGATGCATCGTGATTCAATGATCTGACTGTAGCAATTCAACTGCATCAATTTTGGAATGTTATAATCAATTATAATAACACTGGCCACAATAAAATACTCTAACTATTGTCAAACACAACAATTCTCTAAAACAGTGCATTGTTTTTATTGTCTGCATTGTACTACTGCTGTAAATAGTTCCTCCAGTCACATTTTTGTGTTCTGTGCATTTTTAAAAACAATTTTGAATCATACGGGAATAACTGAATCCTGAATCAAATAAAATCTTAGTGAAATTTGAGATTATCATGCACTGGGGGACAGAGATTCTTCCAGTAATCTCATGCCGATTTTTTTATTTCAGTAAACAAGAACCTGTTTAAAGTATGATAAAATAGGTTTGTAGTGCCTGTTTATAAACTGGCAGTCTTGTGTAGGTTTGCAGAGAGAACACGGAGAAGAACCCAAATGTGTTTCCAATCTTGGACATGGATGTTCTTTAGTAAAGAAAGTCCAGTTATATTGTTCCCAGGAATGTGTTCACATACGCGGGCCCCATTATTCTGCGGTTTCAGAGGTTTACATGTGCCTCCCGTATGGCTGCACTTCTTCTGCTTTCCAGAGCACAGCCATGATTGCACTGTTTGTATATTTTGTGTTACATCAGGACAAGGTTTCTGCAGTGTATGTTTTAATGGCCTGTGTCTAATCTGGTCACTTAATGTCATTTCAGGAAGATCGTGTTGAAATGTAGCATCTGTGACCTCCAGAACAATGCTAATTGATAGTGCATTTATTAGAAAAATGACGTATGGATCACCATGTTTACTATTTTTTATTAATTCATAAAGACACTATCATAATGTGATAGTGGAGCAGATTTAAGCAATTTTCCCATTACCCCAAATGTAATTGATCAGCCAAGACGTGTTTTCAGTTTTGCAATGGAGCTTTTGAGGCAAACACAGCTAACAAGTAATGAAAGCTCATAACAGCCAATTTGCATTGTGCAAACTGCATGCCTAAATCATCACACACATGCCTCAAATCACAAGTAATCTCAAATAGACTTACTTATGTAGTTTTTGATACTGTATGACATACTGTTATCTAGTATGTAGGTAACAAACACATGAGGGCTGCCTGAGATGTCAGCCTTGATTAAAGAGCAGCAGGACGACAGAACCAACACTCCCAGTTTACCATAATACTCTATGTCCATGAACCCCCAGATCTGCACCTTTTATCTAATGGGAAAAACTAACTACCAAAGGCTAGACTAAACAAGTAGGTTTTTAGCCTAGACTTAAAAAATGAGGTTGTGTCTGAGTCCCAAACACTGACTAGAAGTTAATCACAAAACTGAGGGCTTTGTGTGAAAAGGCTGTATTCCCTGATGTAACTAATTCTAGGAACTAATAGTAAGCCAGCACCTTGTGATCTAAGGAGGTGTGATGGTTCATAATAAGAGATTCACTCAGGTACCGAAGGGGCGAGGCCGCTTAGAGCTTTATATGTCAATAAAGGAATTTCGTATTAAATGCGCAATTTAACTGGAAACCAGTGTAGGTTTGATAAAATTGGGCTGATATGGTCAAACTTTCTGGTTCTTGTAAGGACTCTGGCTTCAGCATTCTGGACTAACTGAAGCTTGTTAAGGCTTTTGCTGGAACATCCAGACAGCAGAGCATTACAGTAATCCAGCCTTGAGGTAATAAATGCATGAACTAGCTTTTCTGCATCCTGTAGAGATGCAGAGTGCATTTGGCAATATTGTGAAGATGAAGCAAAGCTATTGTAGGAATATTGGTTATATATGCATCAAAGGACAGATCTGGATTGATCGTGACACCAAGGATTTTTACAGATGTACCTGATGCAACTGAGAAGCTATTATGTTTAAGCTTTAAATTAGACAGTTTGTTTCTAGCAGCTTTTGGACCAAGAAGAAGAACCTCAGTTTTGTCTGAGTTGAGTAGGAAGAAATTACGTTACACAGTCCTTATTAAGTTGAAGTTTATCATTTGGTTTGATATATACAATTGTATGTCATCAGTGTAGCAGGGAAAATTAATGCCATGTTTATGATTATGGTAACCCAGTGGTAGCATATATAATGTGAATAACAGAGGTCCTAAAACAGAGCCTTGTGGAACACCATACACTAAGAATAGATGATTCACTGTTTACACTCATAAACTGATAGTGCTCCGTGCTCTGAACCAGGAAGGAGCTATTCCTATGACTCCTACAAGGTTTTCTAGCCTCTCTAGTAAGATAGTGGCCTATTGTATCAAATGCTGCGCTAAGTTCAAGCAGAATCAGCAAAGATACATTTTCTTGGTCAGAGAATAATAAGAGATCATTTACAGTTTTCGCTAGTGCTGTCTCTGTATTATGATGAGGATTAATCCAGACAAAATTTTTTTCATGTATGTGATTCCTATGCAAATAGATACTTAATTGTTGTGCCACAACTTTTTCCAAAATCTTTGATATAAAAGGACGATTTGAGGTCTATAATTTGATCAAGGGGATCAAGATTACATTTCTTAATCAGAGGTCTAATTACTGTTAGTTTAAGAGTTTTTGGCATATAGCCAAGGCTAAGAGAGTAGTTCTTTATTGACAGAAGAAGCATGGTTATTTCTGGCAAAACTTGTAGGAATTGGATCTAGATACACAAGTAGAAGATTTTGAGGAGGAAATCATTTTAACTAGCTCTGTTTGACTGTTTAAATTTTATTATGAAAGAAATTCATAAAATAATTGCTGCTTTAGGCTTATGGGATCTGGGGTTCAGTAGCTGTTTGTTTTTCTGTCAATTTAGAAATTGTGCTAAATAATAATCTAAGATTATTCTTATTATTTTCAATCAGAGGGGAGAGCATGCTGCAGTGAGTGCAGTGAGTGAGAGCAAGTAGACTGGAATACGTCCAGTTTAGTCAGGTGCCATTTTTGCTCTAATTGCCTGACAGTCTGTCTTAAAGCTCATGTGTGATCATTGTACCATGGGGCAAGCTTTTTGTGCGTAACCATTCAGCAGAATCCAGACACGTGCAGATAAAACTGACAAGATTGGTTTTATTAACACTAGGCAAAAACATAATCAAAACACAGGCGTGGGTCAAAACCGTGAAGTACAAAAAGATCACGAAAGTGATCATATCGCGAGGCGAACAAAACAATAGGGCAAGACAAAAGACGAAGCAAAAAACGAAGCAAAAAAAACAGAATGATGCGATCAGAAATAACGCTCAGTATGTTCTCAGGGAAGCAATACCTCGCACCGATACTAGCTAAAGCCCGGGTTTATATACTGCGCTAACTAAACACATGACCTAGGCACACAGGTGAAACAAGTTAATATTCAGGAGACTGAGATCTCTGACAGGTGTGTGAGAATGTGTCGGAGGTCTCATGACCCCCGCGTGTCTCTTGAGTAATGGAGTCCACGTCGGACTCCGATTCCGAAGGGAAGTTCAAAGTCACGTGATCTCCCAAGGGAGCTTGGGAAATGGAGTCCATTTCAGAGTTCGTACAAGGCGTGACAGTACCCCACCCCAAAGAGTCCGTGCGGGCCTCGGTACGAGGACGACCAGAACGACCCCCACGCCTACCACCGGATCCGTGAACCTGGGCCGAGGAGCTGGCTTCTCTGGGTGTCAACT